CCCATGCACAGGGCTTCCTGTGACTGAGGCTCTAACAGGATATGGAATGCCTACCTGCCTGTGTTGACCTTTGTAACTAGCAGGTCTCTTTCCAATCACACCCACCCAAGACTATGCCAAGTTCAACAGCATACTTTCTGAGTTCCTATGCAGTATGGGGATTATATCAATTGGTCAATTTCCTCTAGGTCGCCTGTGGAGAATATGAACTTCAGGCTCAAGAGTACACTGTTGCCTTAATCTCCCCAACCAGCTCTGCTTCAGAAATCTTTTCACACATGATCTGTCCAGCTCCTAGTTACATCTCCACAGCCTCGAAAGTATCTCTAGATAGCTGTTCTTGTAGTGCCTATATCTCAGAGAAGACACTCTGTTTTTTTGAGACAGATGGGTATTGCTCATGTGCAAGGCACAACTCTGTTTGTCCTGGCACTACCAATTGATTACAGGAAACCAAACTTGTACTGGAAAGAAAATAGCCAAACTTGTACTTGAAGGAAAAGTCTAATACCTGGGGCCCAGTAGGAATACAAAAGTACCTAAGAACTTAAACCAGAAAAATCCCTTTGAACAAGCATAGGTTTGAGTAGTAGAATTACTTGGTGAAATCCTGGCTTTGTGTACTGACTTGAATCCATCTATGCTTATGGGACACAGGGAGCTCCTGAGTAGAAGTAGTGGGGTAATTGGTTACCATTTAGTAAATTCAAAATTATCCCAATATTCTGGGTATCCTACAGCCACACTAAAACCTTTCCCCAGAGCTCCATGAAGCCCTGAGCTTTTCACAGCCCAAGCTATGTTTGTGGCTTGACAGCCTCTCCTGTGAGACTAGACCATATAGAACTTCACAGCCATGTCAGGGAAAGAGATTCAGCTGGGAAAGAGGTTCTCTGGCTTGGCTTCTTAGACAAAATTTCAGCCAAGATGCTCCAGGGAACACCTAGGAGTCTACCTACACCCTGTCCCTCCAAATCTGTCTTATCAGAATGCTGGCTCGCTATGTGTCACCCCTGTGATGACAAATTCAGAGGGACTTGAAGTATTAAACAAAGCATTAAAACAATTAAAAACTACTTTGCCTGGCTGGAGAAATGGCTCAGCTGTGTTGAGAGTCCTTGCTGCTTTTCCAGAAGACTGGAATTCTATTCCCTGCCCCCATGTATGTGGCTAACAACCCCTGTAACAACAGCCACAGGGGATCAGACCCACTTCCTGGCCCCATGGGCACCTGCATGTTCATATACCTACACATAGGCAAACACACACAAGTACTATAAATTATTTTTTTTTCTTAAAATGAAACAAAAAATCCCTGGGTCCACCAGGCCTTTCAGAACACAGCTCTATGGAAGAGGAGTCAGGACAGAGGGAGCACAGAGTGAATGGGTGCTCCCCTAGTACACAACTGAAGACTTAGGCCCATAATGGCACAGTTGTGGATCTAGCTTGCTGTCTTCCCTCCCTCTCTGCCTCCCTTCCCCCCCTTCCTCCCTCCTTCACTCCCTCCCTTCCCCCTCCCGGCTTCTCAGCTGAACACTTTAGAGCTCCATTTCAAGGACACACAGGCAGCCAGGAAGTAGGGTGCTGACAGCCTCACCAAGAACCCAGCAGATGGAGGAAGTATTTCAAGGGCTGTCAGGATGGCATTAAATATGTTCTGCAGTCAGTCTTCCTAGAAATCCTTTATTTATCAAATATTTAAAAACACACAATTTGCTTTGTAAAGCGCGTTTACAGTAGAATTCATGGTGTATGCGAACAGTGTGGGCATCCTTGCCTTCCAGGCTAAAACATGGCGAAGTATGGGCTCTAAGCCAGAGGTCTCTGAGTCCTGGTCCCCAGCTCTCTTACAGGGAAGTGGGTGTGCAGGGCATGGGAGCAGGGGGAGGGGACATGGTTGTCCTTTGCTGTGAGTCAGGCTGGTCCACCTTGAGGAATATGAAGCATATAACAGTGTCTAATAGAGCTGGCCTGCCAACCTTTTCCTTCTGCTCTGCTTTAGTAGTCTCTGGAGACATGTTTCTCAAAACTGTGAATATGGATTCAGGAAAATCAACCTTCCCTGCAATCTCATGGCATCGAGCAGCACTTTGCAAGACTAGGTGAGTTAGCACTTACAGTGCAGGCCTCAACTAGTGAAGAGGCAATTTGCAAAAAGATGTGTGTGGTAGCCAGCCTATGGCAACATCAAAAATGGATACAGCATCCACTTGATTTAGGGAGATAAATAACAAAAACAGAGACCTTAACAATTTCACAATTTTCACCAATAACAGCAACAACAACAAAAAGTATCCACCTGTAAGAAAAACAAGACTGATTGGAGAGGAATGATAGGACATTTAAGCCTTGTTTGAATTTTGTCAAAATGTCACCCATGAAAAAATAAGTTCTTAAAGCAGTAGTGAAGGCCCTTGCTGTGTAGGACATGATGCCCAGAATCCTCTGCTGATGAGGCTCATACTCAAGTCCTCTACAGAGTAAGGTCACCTCACACATGCCTTAATCAGCTTCCAAACTCAGCCTGCTGGCATTCCTTGTGCCTGGCAGACAGTCACCCAGGCAGTTCTCCAGGCCTCTGCAGTCCTGGCATTTTCACAATGAAGTGGGCCCCTCATTGCTCCAATCCCAGAGTCTAGCTGGCTCTCAAAGGGTATCACCTTCTTTGTTCAGGACGGCGGAGGCATCTGGGGCTTTTGGTTTTAAAGTAGACATTAATGACTTGCTCATTGACAAGAAACAAGCCACCGGCATGCACCCAGGAGACTTGCATACTTTCTCCCTGCACTGCAGTGTTCCCCAGCCCCGCCTCTTCAACAGCACCTTTCAGGGCACACTAAATTCCAGTATGCACATCTCAGTTTGTTTCAACAAGGGATGAGGAAGCCATTTGCTTCTGTGTCAGGAGTGTTCGCCTGATCTTTCTGTGCTTCACTTTCCTACAGATCCGTCAAGATTGAAGCCATCAGCATGCATGGCTATGAAATGAGCTAGGAGTTGGTGGTCCAAACCATCAAGAATGTTCCAGAAAATTCAGCTTCACTGTTAAAGCAGCATAACATGAAGGGAAAAATAAGAGGATTCACGTGTCTGCTTGGGGGAAGAAGAGGCATGGTCACACAGGACCAGGCAGAGAACTTCGGTGAAGGGCCAGATGTGGGTGTGGTTGAATATTCTCAGGGGCCATAACTACGGTTTGGGGCCTCAGAGGGAAAAGGCAATTCCCAATTTTTCCTTCATCTCCCCTTGGGATAATATACCCCAGAATGTTTTGCATCTATAAGATGTATAAATGACTTCAGTTCACAAGACTCAGAAAGCTGCTATCATCATCTACAATGAGTAGCTAATGAGATGTCTAAACCACAGCCAGGCACACTGCAGTGGAATTCCACATGCCACTCAAAAGATGAGGTAAGTCTGCATAGTTAGGTACATAAGAGGGTGTCTCCACATGTTTCTCTCTTTCTCTCTCCTTTAAAAAAGCAACTTCATGTATATGTATAGAAAACTAAAAGCAGTTTAAAGAACAGACTGAACTCTCAGAGCTAATTCTACGAAGGAAGGTTTAAATAGAAAATGCTTCTAAGTTTTACTCTTCTCTAATTGCTGATGTTTTCTGTAATGTGTATTATTTATCAAAGGCTCCTTTTTAAAAATAAAAAGAGTGCTGTGTTTAAAAAAAAAACAAGCAAGCAAGCAATCAAACACACAAACAAAAAAATGAGTGTCATATGTTGACAGCTGACCCTTGCTGAGCCTGGAAGAAAAAGAAATTACACTGTGGTAGGAGAAAAATCCTGGAGCATGGGGAAGCCACCTAAACAAAACAGTAACATGAAAGCAAGGGGCCAGATTTATGAAGACAAATGGGCTCTTTGGAATTCTGTGAAAGAATGTATTTTTTGGAAAAGCCCAGTAATTTTGAGGCTCTGTCAAACTATTATTGGCACAAGGAAGCATCTAATATACAAAATAAGCAGAAACAGCCCATTGAGTCTGCAGCTGTACAGTCAGCTGAACCGCTGGTGTCCTGACAGTACCCAACCTGCATAAAAGCTTCTCCCCTCCAGTGCTGCCATGGAGACTGCTGATGATGAACAAAACAAATAGAAGGGGAAATGGCACGGAACTTTTAAAAACTGTCTCTAGTACTCAGTCTCTTGATTTATTTCTCTTTCTCTGTCTTCCTTCCTTTCTTTATTTCTGAAAAACAAAATACAACCCGCAACAATTCTAAAGAATGAAAGACAAAACCCAAAAGGGAGACAACAACAACAACAAAAAATGAAATGCTTCCTAGTCATTGTTAGATAGAAGGACATACATAAATGTCCCATCTGATGTATCCCTGATACTTTTTGGCTCAAGTATGTGACTACAGAGTCCACCAGCTAACTGTAAGGGAAGGCCATGGAGAGGGAGCAAATGGGATTCAGGGTCCACTTGGAGAGATTCTGCATGACTGTGACATTGTAGCCTAGACTGGGGCTGAGATTCAGGTCCCTTCACTCAGTGGGCATGATCCAGGAGAACTACACTCCTCCATCCAGGAATACATTTCTCTGTGGGTGGACAGAGTAGTCTCCAGTTTAGACTTTACTTCCCTGAGAAATGGACCAATAATACTGAATTCTGCCTCCTCTGGTCAGAAAATCACACTGACACAGTTTTTCAGTCCTCAAGCAAAAGCCCATCTATACCAGGCCCAAGCCCGCATTTAAGTACATGTAAACACATCACTGATCAAGTTTCACAGTTATAAGCCAGGGCAAGTCACCAAAATACCAGCGCTTGTCGAGACCTGGATGACGGTCATTCTTCTGAGACAAACTTCTCTGTTGAGCAGATAGAGCTGGTTTCCTTTCTTCACAAATCCCTGCTGTTGTCGTCTTCAACTGTGAACCCACTTCATATGTCTTCCAAAGAAAAAGGGGTGTCAATTAGCTGCCTTGTCAGAGTATTTACAGTGGAACCAGATCCTTCCAGTGTCTGGCTCACTCTTGAATGGAAGAATGGCGGAGGGATCGGTGGTAATCTGGAGTGCTGATATGTTCAGATATGTCATAGCCCCTTAGGAAATGTCCACTGTTTTGTTGAGCAAAATAATACAGTTGTTTGGCTAGCAGAGGTTCCACCTTTAAGAGACATTTTGAAAAAGACATTAGTGGACATTAAAAAACATTAGTAGACATTTAAAAACATTCCTTTCAGCACCATACAATTGATGCATCATGAAATGACCCTCAGACACTAAGCAAAACCATAAGCTATATAAAATAACAAAGCATTTTCACATTCAGAGCCATTTGAAAAACCAGTTTTGTTTGCCCTTACAATACCTGGAGTATAATATCCTGGAAATAGAACTCTTGGTTTTATTTATTTTTATTTTTATTTTTATTTTTTTGAGCCAGAGTTTCTCTGTATTGTTTTGGAGGTTGTCCTGGAACTCACTTTGTAGACCAGGTTGGCCTCAAACTCACAGAGATCTGCCTGCCTCTGTCTCCCAAGTGCTGGGATTAAAGGCGTGTGCCACCACCGCCCAGCTAACTCTTGATTTTATAATTGAACTTAAATATTCATTAACATTTTCAAACCAATTGCCTCTTGGAATTTATTTAACTAAATGACTGGACATTATTAGGTGAAATTATCAAATTAAAAGACTAAGTAAAACTCAGGGCAAGTTAGGTTCATGAGTTTGACAGGGAGAGGGGATCACCTGGAATGACCAAACGACTATGCAATATGAACAACTCTGAACCACGAGTAGCTGACAAACAGAACACAAAACAGAGTTAATGCAAACAGTGTTCACTGGCTCTGGTGGATCTAGCTTGTTGATGAGCATAGATCACATTTCCAATCAAAGCCAGCCTTCACCAGGTCAGGCTGAATGCTCTGTACCAACCCATCATCTCCACATTAAGACTTTTTGTGATTTGATATGGAATGATTGACATGAATTGAGTCCCTGAGTGTGCACCTGAGTATGTTTTCCATCTATGGCAGCATTTTGAGGCCCTTTGCCTGTAGGCCTATCCTTGCCTTTTTCTTATAGGGCCCCACTGCACCCAAAATCATTAAAATCAGATTGATAAATTTACTACTTTTAAAACACTATCAATGCTAGACTCGCCCACGCATTTACAACCTCATTTGGTACCAACCACCAGATAGAACTGAGAAAATGTTCAAGTCCAGCACCAGAGTTTTGTTGCTTCTTGGATTTTGTTTTGCAATCATGAAGGGAGGCTGGATACTTGACATCAGTGTCCCACCCCCATCCCCAGCTGGGTCTGGAATCTAAGGCTTTACCAGTACCAGATAATTGCTTACCACTGAGCTATATGTATGCCCGGCCTTCAATTTTCACTGAGAAATACTATCAGAACTAAAATCTCATTTGCATTTAGATACTGAAGATATTTGGGGATGTAACATTTCCTTAGTACTGGCTTCTTTTCTAGATATGTAATAAAGTAAAATTTTCTCATTAAAAACATCAAGTATTCAGAACTATTTTTTTAATTATTAAATGAGTGCTAAGTGTTATCTAAATAAACCTGTTATCTTTTCTTTGCAAAAGATATTTCTGGGGCACGATTGTACCCATCTTAAATGGGACTAGCTGTGAGGACAGATTGGCCTACCTGGACTGCTGGAAAGACCAGACCCCCTCCCAGGACCCCTTGTCCAGCTATTAAATAACTTCCTAAGTTCCAAAATAAAAAGAGGTCCTGGGAACTATCTGGATATAGTATGCAACACATAGTTTCCCAGTGAGGAGAGTTCGTCCACTCAGGAAAGTTTTTCTAGAGTAGACAACATTTCAAAAGCCACATGAAAAGCAGAGTTGTCAGAGCACACAGCTCTTAGTACCAACTACTTAAAATTCCTATAAAAGGGAAGACCAAGAATTCCGGAGCTCCAGAACCTTGGGTTCAAGGCATCCACCTGCTGTTTCAGTGGTGACAAACTTTGGCTGGAAGTTTGTGGGTCCCCAAGCTGTGTTGCTCACTGGGGCCTGCTTCCTCTTAAGCTATTTTAAGAGCTGCATTTATTTTCCCAGGTGAGTTGACATTTACTCTTCATTTGCCACTTCTCTAAAAGGGCCTGCTCCACAATGCACAACTTGACGGTGATGTAACTGGATACTCACATGAGCTGTGATGAGCTTCCTCTGCCTCTGAGGGTCTGGAAACTCCTCACCAAAGCACAGAGTCACCTGGAATCTGGGTGTTGGCCGGCCATGGTGAGCAAACACTTGCAGCTCTGAGAACCCACAAGAAAAGAAAAAAAACACAACTGTTCAGACACTTGGTAAAGTGGGCTGAATGGAAACCAAGATTCTTCTTTGGGAGAGCCCAAGCTCTGTTTTCCTAAGAGCAGCCCTGAGGGCAGACCCCAGACATGAAACCACATGTTCTAGCTCACATATGATCTCATATGGCCATTTTACTTCATTATTCTTGAGGAACATGACTGAAATGTAAGAACTTGCTTCAGCGGCACTAGACTCACAGAAATGAACAAGGTCAGAGAAAGAAAAGAGGGAGGACAGAGGAGACAAAGAAAAGTAGCTTTGTTGAGGCAAACAAACATCACACACAAAAGTGACGTTTTAACTTAAAACATCAAAATGCTGTGGTGGCCTACGGTTATTTTTAAACATCACTGCCTAACCATGAAGGCCGTGTGGTGTTTGGGCACCACGGGTATCTGTGTCCCACACCAGCTGTTGGCAGCTGTGTCCCACTGGGTACTAAATCTAAAACTCCAAACTAGGACCTGAGTAGACTTCAGTCTCATTTTGAGGACAGAATGATGCAGTGAGAAGGGGGCTGATGAGATCCCTCTGGCAAGCTGTTCCTACCTGAGAGACATGAAATAGACAATATTGTTGAAAAGAAACCTGTCCATGGCTGGGGGTACCACTGCTGGCAGAGCACCTGCCTTACATGTGCAAGGCCCTGGGTTCCACCCCCAGCACTGCTACAAAGAACAAAAAGAAAGCTACATCCAATCACTGACATTAACCCTTATTCTTCCTCCCAGAGCTGGGTTCCCAGGTCTTGTCTGCAAGAAACTGACAGAAAGAAGCTGCCCCTGCAGAGCAGCCCTGAAGACTCTGCCCTTATCTGATGTGAATGTTCAACCCTATAGCCTACAGGGACTGTCCCTAGTAGGGTGCAAATCCTGAATGGGTAGATTATCAAAGACTTCCATTGCTCTCTGAAACTGAAGAGCTTCTAGAAGCTCACAGAACCGACTTCCTGCTTTTCTTTCTCTTTCTTCTTCCAGAATTCAAATCAAACCCAAATGGTTTAGTCACAATTGTGTGAAGTGCATGGTCCTGTGACTGGGAAGACACCCACACCACAGGTAGCAGCGCTAGTCCAAGTAGCAAGTGAGTCCAATGCTCTGAGAAAGCCCACCTCAGCCTATTCACTCCATACCACTGGGTGGGAGGTGCGGAGGTTGCTCTGCCTCTCAGCTGCAGTGTTGTCTTCCCTGAGCCTCAGTGAGGCTTGAGGACTGTGGAGGCTGTGGATGGCAAAAAGAACAGGCCCCACTACAAATGAAGCAAACAGCTCTTGCTTATGGATAACTAATAAGTTCTAGAAAGTGAATGCTCAGCCCATGGTATCCATTCGACTATGGTGCCTGTCTTCTGACTGGATCCCCACTGGAAAAAAGTAAGACTTGTGCACCTCCCAGCCTAGTCTCTGGTGATTGCCATTGTTCTGGGCTTCCTTAGTCAATCAGGGAATTGGTGGTAGCCTTCTAAGAGGACACATGAGGACTTCCAGACCCCAGGGCAAACAAGGATGTGCAGCCAATCATCCCAAGAAGTTGCTTTTCTTTGCCTTGGACTATGAACTCTAGAACTCACCCCAAGGGAGGCAAAGGAGTCTGGCCAAGGCTGAGATCATGCCCGGCTCCAAGGGTCTTCACCATGTGGCTGCCTTAAGCCTGAGATAATTCCCTTTCCTGTGCCCCAACTCTTAGGGAAGGATATTTGTCAAGGAACATGTTTTGCTTTGGGAAATGAAAGTGTTTGGATGAGCCTAAGCAAATATTGGCCACTGGGGCCCAAAAGGCTGAGGAAATGCCACTAGCACCAAGAACACTGGTGCTTTATGTCTTCATTGTAAATGAATGGAAGGAAGATGCACATTGAAGATTCAGTTGTCCTCCTTCTGTGTACACATCCGAGGCAGAGTAAATCAGTGTTGGAAAGACAGCTGCACTTCCATAGACAACAGCACCAGTTAGAGCAGCTCAGATAAAAAGTCATCCCAAGCACCCACCAATGAATACACAGATAATGAGAGGATTAGGTGGTATAGATCACAACAGAATATTACTATGTCTTTAAAAAAAAAGGAGGGCCTCCCATTTGTAACAACACAGATGAGCCCGGAGAATATCATGCTAAGTGAAATTAACCGTGCAAACAAAGACAAATACTGCATGATGCTCCCATGTGAACTCTAATATAGTTGAACTCATAAAAGTAGCACTGAATGGTGCTCACCCAAAGCGGGGAGCAGCTAGGAAGCTGTGGGTCAAAGAATATAAACTCTCACTAAGACAAGAGGAGTTTGCTGAACACACGCTCAACAATGGTATATTCTCTCAACTGTAGTAATGGACCATGTACTTGAAAATAGCCGAAAGCAGATTTCAAGTAATGGTCTTACCAAAATAAGGAAAAAGAGATAGGCATGCAAGGCGATAATTGGTGCGATTTAGCTATCACCCAGTGTACATACATTCTAAACCACCATGGTGTGCACAGATGAGAGAAGCAAAACAGGTTCAGGTTCAAGAAATGGAAATCACAGGAAAAGCCAGAGGTGAGGGCTGTTTGGAAAAAGGCATCAAGAAAAAGCAAGCCCAGGATACAACGGGGAGACTGGTAGCAGCCAACAGAGCAGCCTACTCTCCCAAAGACATCCTCTGCTGGACAGTAGGGAAGCCCACTGGATGGTACTTCACAGTGGCATAGCTAATGACTTCATTTAAGCCAGCCCAGGGCTAACTGAACTCAACAAGATCAAAATTCAAACAGTCAGAAGTGCAGGTTCTGGAAAACATGACTGAAGCCTTCAAATGCCAGAGATAAGGCCAAGCTTTCTCAGCATTTCTCCCTTGCTGAAGCCGTCTCTTACACTCTCAGCCTTGGTACCACCTGCAGTGTGGCACTTTTATAAGGGTGACACATCTCATAACCAAGAATGTTACCAATGTGCTTCTAACCTTCTTGATTTTTCTAGGAAGTCCCAGTAAGCTGTAGTGTCAGCAGATAAACTTGCTGAGAGCAGAGAGCCGGTACAGTGGAACCTTGCTGAGGGAGGGGCATGTGCTGCCGAAAACCCACATTTTAATTCATTAGCCAGGTGTGACAGTGCACATATATAACCCCAAAGCATCTCCAGTTCTAGGCCAACCTGAGCTACCTAGAGTCTGCCTCAAAAATAAAAGGACTGATAATAAAAAGGATAACTTAAGATATCAACCTGCACCATAGGCTGTCTCAGCAGGCTCACAGGGACCCTCTTCCTGGCCCTCTGCTAGTAAGGGGAGCACACAACAGACAAAGGTAAGACACAAACCAGGAAGAAACCATATTCCTGGTTGAGCTCACTGATCTCAGGAGGAAGACCCCTGCCTGGAGTAGGCAGACCCTACCATTTGGGACCTTCCTGGCCAGCACCCATTGCCACCTCTATTCTAACGGACTGTGAGGTGTATTACCTGATAGGAACTGCTGTGTGTCAAAGAGCTTGCAAGTCTGGTCTCTTTCTAGTTTGTTGGGCCGATCACTGCACAATGCCAGGGGCCCATCCCAGTAGATCCTGCTCTGGCAGAGTCTTTTGGCATAGAGCCCATCTGGGGCCATCCAGAGGACCAGTCCCCTCTCCAGGTGGCTCAACAACTTTTCAATGTTCTTCCTCTGCCCATTGTCCTCTGGGTAAGGGAACAGGACCTGGTCCAGATTGCTGACATCATAGGTATGTCCATGGGAGATCCGGCAGCCTTCAGGGCTGGATGTGGTCAGCTCCTTCACTAGCATGTCCCGGTAGTACAGGCAGATATGTAACCGGCAGTCTGTGAACAGAACTCTGGAATCAGTGCTGATAGACCTGGGACATATACCACAATGCTCAGGGGTCCAAAGACTCAATTAGCTACACTGATATGAAGTACAGCAGGTGGAACACTAGTAACCAAGATGCTCCATGAACAAGTAGGAAATGCTAGGACCAACGAAGTCTGGGAGATGTTAGCTGCTCTTGTCCCCTGCAGACTCTTAGACTGCAAGCACATTCAAATCTAAGAGAAGCCCATGAAAAGAAACTTAATTTCTCTAACATGGCCATTTTCAAGTGTTGATGTGGTCATTTATTTACTCATCTTGGGGAAGGGTTACTGCTTGGATTTTCAGCCCAATTTTACAAGACAGCACCTCTGTTATGAAGGTTTTTTGGATGGCGTTTTATCTAAAATATGAAGTAACACCACTGAATGGGAATTCATCTTCCAGCCAAATCAATTTTAATTTTGGAGTTGAACTCTAAGATTAATTTCTACTAGTAAAAACTACAGAGTCATCTCAGAAGAAAAGTAAATGTGTCAACATCTCTGGAACTTCCCTAAGTGTCACCATGATGTCATTTAAGTAAAAACAAAACAATAACAACAACAACAACAACAAACCCACACAGATATGTTGGAGGTAAACACTAAAATAACAACTTCTGGGCTATGAAAAACAATACTTTTATTTTCTTATTTTAAGTCAGTTTTCTTGGGGTAGGGGGAGGAATTGATGTGAAAATGCTCTAAGAGCCAATAGTTAATGTTAAATCTCCTGAAATCCCTCTAAACTCTGTGTTCAACTTTGAAAAGAGCCCAACAACTATATTTTCTACAGCTGTAGAAGCTGTAGCTTCTACAAGCATTTATTGATGGGTGAGTTTATTGATTTCAGAAACCGCTTTAAAACACCACCCACAAGCTTAAAGGGCAAGCTGGGTGTGCAAAGGGCTCCCCGGCAGAGACAGATACCCATGTGGTGGCTGGAGCCCAAACAATGCCTGGAAAGAGTAGCTTTCTAAAGAGTGCACTCTGGGTTGATCATTAATTATGCAAACCAGAAAAAGAAACCCACAAAACCCTCGTGTTCTTCAATGGTTCTGAGACAGCCCACATCATGGTGTCTTCCATTTCTGCTGCTATAAACGGTAAGTCAGGCAATGCACCCAAAGAGAGGGGGCATTGGCCATCTGAGGTGACTGGTAGGGCAGGTTTCATTTCATTTAATGTCACCAGAATCACAAGATTGCAGAGATATAAATAGCTATTTATTTCCTACTCTTGGGGCACCCATACAAGTCTTAGGTGTTCCAGAGAGGGTCTGAAGGTTTCTAGAGTCAGTGACAAGCCCTGATGCTCAGAAGTGTCCCTTTTCTGCTCTTAAGTGGCTCACAAAGTCTCCTTGAGCATCAGAATTGGAAGGAACTAGGTGTCAAGACTTTTTCCACCCTTGTGAATAAGGGAAGTGTCTAAAACATTCAAAATGTACTTGGCCATAGGCGTGGTGAGAATTCTAATGTGCAAGCTACTTTTAATATCCATTCAAACTCCATTTGAAAACGTTCAAAAATCATCTAAAGACTCAATGGACATTGGATGCATATTTCAAGTGTGTTGGGGCTTCCTTAAAACAGGGCAGTATCTCTAATTAGTAATGAAACTTTAAAATCAGATCAAATCCATGCAAGCTCAGAAATTCTATTGAAGTTGCAGGGGAGACAGAGCAATATGGTCCTTTGGGGCCATAGGAATTTCTCAGAAACCAGGGTTCAGAACCAGTGTTCCCTGGAAGCAGTTCAGGACCACCTGTTTTTGGCTAACCCTGAAAGGCAAACAGCATTTGGAAATGAAAAGTCTTTGTACTTTGTCTAAGCCTCTCTGTACTGTGAAGTATGTTGGCTGGAGGAGGAGCCTGACTACACATTCCTGGAAAGCTGGGTAGGTAATGATGTACATGTTAATGACTTCATTCAAATAGTGTTTGGCTAGCTAGTACTCCAGCAGAGATTTCTAATAGTGTTCTTTATTTACTGTGATATTCATACTGCCTGGGCAATGTTTGCTCCAGACCACAGGGCCTCCAAAGTAAGAGTCTAAATCCTCACCCAAGAGTCTAAATCTACCCAGAGGATAGATGCCACCTCCCTCGGAGCCTTAAAGGAAGCGCTACACTCACCTGAGAGCGCCAAGGCTTCAGCAGACCTTATGCTTGGCTCTATGGGGATTCCAGGAGCCTGGGACTCAGGTGGGGCACAAGCATAAAAGGTTCCTGTCACCTGGCAACCTGCATTTGCAAATGAAAATCAGATGATGTCTAAACAGAGAGTCCAAGTTCAGGGAGGCTCTTGAGTTGGGAGGAGCCACGCCCAGTCACCTTCCAACTCAAGCTTGAGAGGCTCTAAACACCCACTGCCAGCAGAGCATGTGACTAGGAGGCAAAGGCCAAATTTCAAGTTCAGTGGGAAAAATACAGGGTGATGGAGGAAGGAATGGCAGCCCAGCTCTGGATGGAAACATGGAGCTCCATCCATAACTTGTCAACAGGGAAACTGAGGCTCAGAAGCAGAGGGGTTTGCACCAGCCCACACAGCAAGTTCCCAGCAGAGCCAGGGTTCAAATTTATATAAGGATAGTTTAAAAAATGAATAAATTATCCAATCCTCATTGCCCTTTATAAGTTTTGGGGAAAATTGAATCATGCTCCCTGGCAGCAGAGAAGTTATATCATATTAAACCAAGAATAGCTTAAGCATGGATAAAATGTAGGTTCTGGGGGTGAGGGGGGGTGAAATTGTGACAAGGAAATTATTCCCAGAATAATATAAAAGGACCACACGAGTGGTGAACAGTGTCAAAACAATGAACTTGAAAGTCCTAAAAGCTTGTTTTATATCCAGTCTGGTGGTACAGGCCTGTAATCCCTGGTACTCAGGAGTTCAAGGCAAGAGGGTCAAAGAGCAATGGAGCCTGGGTAATTTAGCAAGACTCTCCCTTAAAATACACAGTTGAAAAGGGGTGTGGGGTGTAGTTCAGTGCACGTGCCTAAATAAATGCCTAATGATCAAAGCTTCACTGAACATTCTTCAGTGAAAATTTCTGTGTTCGGTTAATTGGTGTTTCTTCTGTGGGTGCTCATCTAACCTCTAGGGCATGTGTGCTGTGGGTCTTTTGGAACCTGGCACTGCTTTGCAGAGAAGTTTTGTGGATTACTTTTGCTCTGGTTATTCCTTAGTACCAAGAACAGCTACAAATGACTCAGCACTCCTCAAGGGACATGAATTAGCAATGATCTCCTGAAGTCTCTGCAGAGGTGGCCTGGGCACAGCTGTAGTATGGTCCCTTTACAGGAGAGTTGAAAGGAATAGGATAGGGAGATGGTATGGCTCTCCACCAGTAAGTAATAAGGGACAATTTAGAGGGAAGCCTGACAAAAATCTATCCCTCCATCCTAATATGACAAAGAAAGCATAATGTTATAGAGGGTGAAAACATGTTGACCAAATAATTGAAAGAAAAAGTAGACAAGTTTTATAATTGACATGTTTTGCCATTGGGCACTTATAAATAAATATCCATGCTTTTCTCTATTTATTGAAAATGGAGCAGGCATTTTTCAGTCTCTTGAAATGATTTCTGGGCTCCTTTAATTAATTTTCCACACAGAGTGATGCCTATCATGGCTCTGAAGACTTCAGCATCCTACAGGACAAGGCAAGATTCCTCCCCAGCCCCAAGCTTCGTGTGATGTCTCTCTGCATCTCTGTGGAAGGGGAAAGCCCTGTGGTGCTGCCTGGGAGGGTCACCCAGAGTTGCCCACACCCTGAGCCCAGGGTGTTCTTCTGCCTCCTTCCCTAGCACATTCCTTACCATTTTCACAAGATGGGCCTTGCCAGTGGTGGCTGCGGGGGCCAAATGTCACAGGACACTGATATGGGATTTCTGGATGTGACTGGTCAGGGGCATAATCCCTCCAGCTTCTGTCATGAGGTGGCATCATGTAGTTATGAACCTGCTGACAGAACACAGGCACTGCTCAGAGGAAAACACCGGTGGGTGTTGGGGTGCTTTCATTGTCATCCCAACTCCTCTGGGAACCCCTTTTTTCTGGCCAGAAGCCAAGTAATTTTGTCCAAAAAGTGGCATGAACTGTCTATCGCACTAGGGAGGAAACAGCAATAGAGGGTCAAAAAGCACAATGGAGACTTTGTGTAAATCTGTGATTTTTGTAAAGTTTCATCATATGGCTGAGCCTGGCACCAAAAATACTGCATAGAAGTCTGCCCTTTTTAAGCCACCAAAGTGAATAAAACAGTACTGTAATTCACATCGGGGAAGCCTAGAGAAGTCAGCTGCCCTGTGGTTTCACATGATAAAGCACCACTTCCAACATCCTTGACTTCCACAAAAGGTCTGATTGCCAGAAGGTCTGACCCTCAGTAGAAAAGCACATCCCAACAGGTGGGACACATCAAACTCCCCAACTAAACCACCAGGGACAGTGACACCATGCTGAAACTGAAACATCCTTCTACGACCAGGGGTTCGTTCACAGTTGTAGCAGCCATAGCAAATAGTAAGCCCTGCTATTTTCATTTGTGTTTTCCCTCTCTGTGGAGCCAGCTAAAAGACTCAGCCTAGCCTTCCACAAGCCCAACAAGTCCCCCACATACCTGGGCTGGCAGTGAGCCATAAGGCGCTGCCATGGGGTAGGGGTGGCTCATGGCCATCTGTGTGTCTTCCAAAGTAAGCTGCTTTGCTCCTGTGTGTTTGGGGAAGAAGAAGAAACAACACAGAGTAAAAGAAGGAACTGACTTAACTGAATAGCAAATCTTAGAAAAATACCTGAGTACTTTATTCTTAGAATGCACAGCCATGTTAACCAATCAGGTGTTTTCTCAAGCAATTCCATCCAGCAGTTATTTGTCTGTGCCATTAAACTGATTAAACAGGCTCTGATTTGTGCTTGGCAGTCAGAGAAAGAAATACTCTGCAGGCACTGTGATCCACCAAGGTTTCTGATCAAGATAGTACGTAGCTGAAGCATCCTGAATGGTTGCAACAAATGCGTACTCCTGGGCTCTGATCTAGACACACTAGTTGGAATCTTTGAAAGAGGGAAGTGAAGATCTGAATTTTCATAAGTACCGAATCAGGCCATAGAAACTCCGGCATTTTTATTACAATAAATGTGAATATTTATGGGATGCTTAGTGTGCTTTCCCCCTCTAAAAAATGCTTGATTAATAAAGGATATTAGGTAAGGAAAACTTTGATGGATCTTGCAGTTTTGTTTGGAAATTTGGTCCACACCCTAACTGAACGAAGTAACTGGAACACTTAACGCCTGTATGTGCACACACCCACATGGGCATGGGGCTTAAAGTCTGAGAAGCAATCCTCAACTAACACCACAAGGTTTTCACTTATAACCCAGAGAGCATGGGCAAAGAGACGGCTGGGCTTGGCCATGGGACAGGAGGTAGCAGTCTACAAAACAGAAGTAGAAAGTGATCCTGAGCAGGAATTAAGGCTCTGTGAGAGTCACACTGCCTCTATCCTGTGACCTACGTCGGGGAAATCCCCTACCTTTTTTGGCTCCTTCTGGAACAATCCTGTACACCTTGTACGGATCTGAAATATCCAGCTGGCTCCTCTCTACCAGTTCCTCAAAGTCATTGCTCTTGTTCAGAGCACATCGTAATCTTGTCTTCCAAGTAGGAGGGTCAGGCTTGTCGATGCCTTCCCGGAACTTTCCTTTAAATAGCGCCCAGGCCTAAGAATGAAGAAAAGGCAAAGTCAAAGTTCAGATCGTCACAAGGAATCTATAGATTGCATTTCTGAAAGGAAGATTGGTGTTTCAGATTTGTTATTGCCCAAAACATGGAACATGATGATACTGGAATCCTCTAAGCAAAGACTTCTCTCCTAGGACCCGGCCATGAGATAGGGAGACCCCTAGTGTGGGCTGTACGCACCCAGTGCCTGCAGCAACTGTGGACAAGACTAGGTGCAGAGCTGTGGAGGGGCAGGCCCCAGAGAGGACATCTCACTGAGGTACTATGAACAAATTCCCGCAGGAAGTCCCCTTCCCCTACCCTGCTTGCAGGCGGAGACTGGGGGCTTCACAGTTCAGTGAGCCAACTCTCTGGGGACATCAGTCCTAAGGGACTCGCATGGGGAGTGGGGGCTCCCAAAGGAAGACTTGGAATAGACAGTCACCCAAAGAACAGAAACAGAGATGGAAACCTCCAGAACTAGAACCAGTCATCAGAGGAGCCCAACCAAAGAAACAAAACCCAGAGAAACTCAGAAAAGTAGCCACATAGTGACAGGGAAGCTGAGAGTGGTCCTAGTTAGTAGTCGATGGTGACAGTGGCAGGAAACAGCCCGATCTGCTGTGCAGCAGGAGCCCCAGCTTCAGGGCACCGCTGGGCCCCAGGGATGCTCCTGGAGCTCTAAGTACTTTCCTCCACACAAACTTAGTGTGAGGACCTGGTTGTCTGTTTGTGTAATCCCCAGAGAGCTTGAAGCCTCTTTCCCTTCTCTCTGGGCTTCTGGCAAGTAGGACCCGATGAGTGGCGCTCTGGTCTCTGCCTCACCGGACCCACCCGACCTCCAAACTGTCTGACTGGCCTCTCTTCCCCGACTCTCCCCGGGCCTGGGATTCCCAGTGCTGGTACCTTGAAAAGGGCAGCGTCCTCCTCGCGATTGTAGTCCTGCTTGCCCGCATGCTTCCACGGGATGCGGAAGACGCTCTTCTCCTCGTTCTCCCACACTAGCCCGGGGTACTTGCCACTGTCGATCTGGTCGATCAGCCACTGGCGGAGTTTCCCGTTGCCGCAGCTCACCGCGCTCATGCCGAACTCTGCACCCCGGCTGCCGGCCTCCAGGTTCATGCCTTGTGCCAATCACCTCCTGCGCTCGCGCGCTGCGGGGAGACAAACTTCCCTGCAGCCACCATCGCATAGCTCTCCGGGGCACCCTGTCCCAAACTCTTGTAGTAACCACGAGGCCCCGGAGTCTCTGAGCTGTGAGATGCTCGCGTGCAGTGCCACTCAATGTCGCCAGAGTACCCCAAGAGAAGGTACTTTGGTGAAGGTGTGGGGAGCATCCCTTGGCGCGCATCATCCTCAAACTTGGTCCTTTCACTTCAGCTTGCACTCACTGTTCACTATTTTAGCGCGCTCCATAGCAAGCTCCTAGACACACAACACGCCAAGTTTTGTGCCACCCTGGGCGCCCCGTTTGCTTACTTGCCCCCTCCTCCCCGCCGGCTCCAAGATGCTTTCACCCTACTTTTTCCTTACTCCCTCCTCTCCGGAGGGGGGTTCAGGCTGCCCTAGCGGCCTCAGGCACGAAAGACCTGGCACGTGGACTAGCCCTTATCCAGGTCTTGTGCCCATGCTTTCCTTGTAGGTGTGGAACATCTAGCTCTTCTCTCCCTCCGCGTTTTTCTTCCACCCTCTCACTTTGTCCCTGGAGTAACGCCAGACCTACCTACCCAGCCAGAGACGATTACGTGGACCCTGGAAGCAACAAGTGGAAGTTTGGGTATGGGGAGAGCAGCGCAGCAAAGAATCGGGAGATTCGAGCATGCAGAGCGTTAGCGCGACCCCGGGGGGAGGGGGAGGGTGAAGGCGAGGCTGGGAATACTGGGTGCTCCCCTGCGCGGGAAGCGAAGGAGGACGTGGGGGAAGGGGCTCTGAGTGCCCCAAGTTTGGAACTCCTGGTTCTCCTTGGCCATCTGGCCTAGAAATCGTGCGCTGGAGCCCTGGATAGTTTGGGTCCCTTCTGAATCAGGATTGGGAAAGGAGCTTCCGATGGGAGCAGACAGGGTCAGTGGCTGTCCCCCAGCAGACAAACTGCCGCCAGGGCATGACCCTTTGATGGCACGTCAGCTCGTCCAGCCCAGCCCTTGGGGATGTTCTGGAACGCTTGTTCAAGTAGCCTCACACAGAACCCGCAGTGTACACGTCCCGGGCTAGCGAAGATTGCAGGAGCCGGGGACCCCTATCTCTCCACGCTCTCTCGGGGCTTGGGCTTAGAGATGGAAGCTCGGCTTCTCGATCCCTCCCTGTCCTCTGTCACCAGCCTCACACTCTTCTTCTGCCCGACTCCAGGCCTTACCTCTCCCGTACTCTGAGCTGAGGGCAGCAAAGGGTCCCAAGTTCAAGTGGTGAAACTCGGTAAGCGAGGTGAGAAAGAGGAACTTTATAGAGCCGGGGGCGGGGCTCGGCGCTGGGCAGGGCGGGACAGCTCCGCCTGCAAAGGCGTGACTCCACTAAACGGAGACCCGCCTTCCATCCCTGCTCTGTGCCTGGCCAAAGCGGGATATCAGGCTGGGACAGGAGCTTCTGATTGTAGCCCCTAGGGTCAGGGGCTGTCCCGCTACCTACAAGCTCCGACTTTCTCCATTCCCTCTAGTGGAGGGGCTTGGGACTCTGACGTACTCGGAAATCCTCAGTGACTGAGTGCCCGTTCCAGTGGAGGACAAAGCTCGCAAAGGGAATCTCGGCTGAATACTAGAACTTCCTAGACTAGCTGATAACTAGTAACCGCTCATCTCTACCTCTCTACCGGCATGGTCAGGGCGGGAAGTGATGTAGGGTCTGGAGCCCAGGGAACTTGGTTCTCACAGTATGACAGAAGAGAGAGACTGAGAAGTGGGAAGCAACCTTGGCATGGACAACGGGGAGCCCGGTCTCTCCGCAGTGTTTAGAGAATCACAATCACGCTCACTAAAAAGAAAATAGAAAGGCAAGTCCGTAAACCGTGGTCCAAATACTGTGTCTGAAATGCTTACACACTTTGGATGTATGAAACTGATGAATTGAGATGACTCAGACAGCGCACAGCCCCCAAAGTTTCAATTATGGCAACATAAAAGAGATGGGGGATCCCTAAGTATTCTGGTAGGGTAGTTAGCACTTCCGGATGTCAATTCACCTTAAAATGGTAATTTTAACCTCAGTCTTGTGAGAGGCAGTTACCCGGTGGGGCATGAACGTCCCAAATAGAAGTAAGAGCTAAGTGGACTAAGGAGTTAATTTCATTTTCCATATTGTCTTCCACCTCCAAATTTAACTCCCTAAGTTTTCACCACTGGCTTTCTCCAGCCCACCTTGGATGTCTGCAGCATGTTTGTTTACTTGATATTTTCAGATAAGCTGTCAGATCACCAGTTTCTATATAGTTTTAGATCACGGCCACCACAGATCAACTTGGAACATTTATTTGTAAAGCCTTTTCATTTCACTTATTTCTCTATTTTTCTTTTAATCTTCTACCATGGGTTCTGGACTTTAGAAGAAATAGCCGAGTTCAGCCACAGCAAAAACAGACCCAGTGATGCCCACAGGTAATGCTTTTTCCTAACACCAACAGGCTTTCTCAGAAATTAACAGGATGCCATGTCTTTATTTCACCCCAGTCAGTTTTCCATTGTCAGAGCCTGGGTAGTAAACAACAGAGTTTCGTTCAAAGAAAATTTTGGTCACACCCGTTTTCCCCTCTTCTTCCTTCACAGCTTCATTCATTCAAAAATATTCTTTGAACACCTTGTATCTGTTGGGAACTGTCCTGGCACTGGAGACACATCTCTGAGCAAAGCAGAGATGGCTGTTTCAGATAACACAGCATTGCCACTGGGGGATGACTTTTCTTTAAAGTGTGCACAAACCCGAGGTTCTTTTTTTTTTTTTTTTTTTTTTTTTTTTTTTTTTTTTTTTTTTTTTTTTTTTTTTTTTTGCACTTTCATATACGTGTCCTCTGCCTTGGCTTAGATTGGTTTCAACATTTTCCTCACCCATCCACACCCTCTGTTTTCAGAATTTTGAACAACAGTCATTACAAGAAACCTTTTGAGACTTCACATGGCCATCTCATTTAAAGACAAGATTACTAATCTTCAACGCCATCTTCTGGTTTGTCGTATGGATCCCCTAAAGGTGATATTTAAAGTGAGGTGAATGCAAACAATAAGCTATCCGAATCATTAAAATGTCCTGTTTTATTAGCATCTTTTAAGTACACCCAGAAATGGGTTTCATTGTGACGTTTTTATACACAGATACAGAATAGTCAGATCACATTCACCCCCTCAACTGCCATTTCCTATCACTTACCCCTGGAGCCTTCTTCTTTGTCCCACATCCTTAAGCCCTTTTACTTTCATACCCTTGCCCCAGCACATGTTTGAGAGACTCAATTATTTCACACAACACACTGAGATCCAATCCCAACCATTCCTTGCAAACTGCACAGTTTTGTTTCTCTTTTGGATGAATGCAATTTCCTTATGAATCACTGAAGTTCTTGATGTTCGCCTTGCCGCTGGGGGAGAGAAAGGAGTGACGGAGTGTGTGCTGCCAGCTGCTTGCTGAGAACTTCTTAAATCATAGTCACAGTTGACGAAAAAAGAGAGTTTTGAGACTAAGAGCTCCCTCATCCTCTTTCCCACTGAGACTTGAGAGAACTGACATTCCATAGTGAAGTAGTAGACAGTCGTTCTAAAATGTCATAGGAAATTAGTTGATTGAGCACCTACCCCAAAGGCAGAACGTCATGGTCTACATGGAGATTATCTGGGTTATTTGGCTAAAGAGCCACTGAGTGGGGAAGCAGGTCTGAAAGGGGTAAACTGTTCATTCACACTTAACCATAAAGAGACTATGAGAAAAGCTGAACACACCCACATTCACTACTTTATGAATTGACCTTTTAAAAATTACACATTCATATATGAGAAAAATGGTATACAGAGCCCATGTTAGACACACAAAAAATCATTATTTGGCTAGGGGTGTACCTTGCTAGTAGAATGCTTGTCTAGTTCATGGCAGGCACTGGGTTCAACCCCAGCAACCCAAAGCAAAGCAGTTACCCCTCCAAGAGGCCAAGATCTTGTTTTGGATAAATGTATATTCTCATGAATTCTCTCCTTAAAACAAGAACAATGATTTATATTATATAAAAAATCAGTGGAAATCTGTCCCTGGAAAAAATAATTAATGTAACTGCTTTTAATCATTTGTAAAAAACTAAAAAATAAAACAGGAAAGTTAAAAAAATGCTCTAGTGTTTTGATGCAGGTTACCTCTGATTAAAAAAACAAAAAACAAAAAAAAAAACAAACCTGATACTCTGACTGCATGTGTGTAGAATGCCAGTTATGACCTCTGACCACTCTATGGTAAGTGGCAGAGAATCCCATGTATGACCTCTGACCACTCTATGGTAAGTGGAAGAGAATCCCATGTATGACCTCTGACCACTCTATGGTAAGTGGCAGGGAGGAGGTGATGAGAGTTCATGGGAGTGAAGGCTTGGCTGGTCATCTAACTTTTCCATGTTCAAGAGTGATGGTGACCCACCGTCTGCAGTTCCTAACAAAGAAGTTATGTACATTGCAGTTTTCACTCACTTGGAACTGTGACTATGTCAGCACTTAGGAAGTGTCACAGACACAATGACATCTGTCCTTCAGCCATACCTTCATGGTGTTCAGGGTAGCACACGTTCAGTCCAATTGTGCACAGGTGAGAGAGGTCCAGAAGGGCTACTCTCCATCTCTGTGACTTGGCCAAGAACTCAGCTTTTGTGAACCAGTCTTTCCCATTTATACATCTGCTTGCTGCCCCTGGGGTTAAAGTCAGGGGATGGGAAGATGGCTCTCAGTGGGTAAGAGTGCTTACTCTTCAAGCATAAGGATTGAGCCTGAGTTCAAGTCCTTAGCATGCGTGTAAGAAGGCCCAGCGTAGCTTTGTGTTCATATAACCTCAGAATTGAGAGGATGAGGTAGGTGGATCCCAGGAGCTAAACCGAACATTCTTAGTAAAGTGATGCATAATTGGGCAATAATTCATACAACTATTTTTATGTAGTCCTGAATATAGCT